CCTTTATATGATTTCAAGAGGCAGTTGTTCCTGTGGGCTCCCATTGGTCTGTCAACACCAGCTCCAAAAGGGGGGACGTGAACACAGGCGATATTGTGCCGGCGAGAGGGGGGTTTGCAAGTGTTTGAAGTCAACGGGGCGGTTGCATGAGTGATTCTCGGAGTAGACGCGGCAGCTGGGTCAATAAGAGGGAGGGGGGAACGGACAGCTGGCTGGCTCTCGCCATGTCACTTTACGGTGGTCTTCATGTGAAATGTAAAAATCGAAAGGAGGGGCCGAGACCGCGGGAGGGCAGTATTCAGTCATGTGCGTTTGAGTGAGGGAGAGAGGCCAGCGTTCAAGGTAGGAGGGGGACAGCCTTCGAAATTGTGTAAACAGTCATTTTTGTAGGTCGGATGGGAATTTCATTGAAGAAGGGATGTGGAGAATTCCAGACTTGTTCAGCCGGAAATAACAATGTGCGAATTGTGCGAAGTATGCGGCCGCTGCATTCTGTTTTATCTTCTAAATGACCTGACTGATTTGCACTTAGGAGACGGCAGGGGCATTCTGATGATTACAAAGGACAGTGATGTGGTATGTAACAGATATCCCGTGTAACGGGTCTGGTGAGAATGGTAGTTATAGGGATTATACGGTTGGTGCCTTAGAATGCAGACCCTAACCCTAATCTGAGGAAGGATTTAACTGAAAAATGCCTACGTACATCAATGCAGTAGTGAGTCTTGCGTCTTGCCTTACACATTTCATTAACAGCTGCATATACTGAAACAGCGCTAGGCCATTCACCTGTTTGCAGGATTTTCCGTCAACGCATGTTCTGGAGAATTACTTCGCATTATCCTAAACGATGTAGGATGTACAAGACGTAGACCTTGTAGCGGTCAAAGTCGTGGTTGTGCTTAGACCATTACAATCATCAGGTCGAATCCCAGGTTGGAGATAAAAGACAAGAGTCACCAGAGGGAGAACCCTGCATTGTTGTCCCAGAGGGCAGTGGACGCTGGGGAAGCCAGGGCGGATTTTGACTGCGTCCAGTCGTGCCCGAGAGTGTGTCTGTCGTGTTGTGAGAGGGGTGATGATGACAGCTATTTTCCCAGGACTGTGAAGCCAGTTCAAGTGGGTTGTTATTGGTGTATTGCAAGCGTCTGAAGGGATGCCGCCT